CACTCCCAGTAAACACTGCTCCTTACACTGTCACTATGTTGAAATGAACTGTAGTTTGAGCTTTTCCCCATCTAGTTATTATATGTCTTATTTGTGTCACTTATGTTACTTGTATATTATTTGTAATTCGTAACCCATTCCCCAAATATGTAACTGTATATTTTCAGCCTTCTGGCTGCCAAGCTCTTTCAATAAACCGTTAATTATTATTATTATTATTATTATTATTACACACACACACCATCTGAGGGAACTACTACACCACGTGAGTTCCTCCTAACACCATCTAGGAGGGAGTTACTACACTACGAGTTTGCTGTTCAACACCTACATTAATCTGTATGTTCACTGTATGTTCCTTCACCTTTCTCTAATGAAGGCTTTTGTTAAACCACCAATGTATGTAATAAGTCATTTATGTCCAATGTATATTTTCAGCCTTCGGGCTGCAGAACTTTTTCAATAAACCGTTAATTATTATTATTATTATTATTATTATTATTATTATTACATTTTCGCCCCCCAGGCCCGATGTGGGTCCGTGACCTGTGCCCAGGTGGGCTGATCTCCCGTAAAAAACTACAGTATATTAATCAAGCGTATCTCTTTCAGTTAGAAACTATGTGTTTCTTATGTCACATTTGGGCGTTTTTTATGTTTTAGCTGAAGTCAAAGGGGGTGCATTTGGCATATTCTGTTACTAGGATTATTGATTGTTAGAAACTCTGTGAATTTGACCACGCAATAGTGTCTGACTGTCTGGCAACCATCAGTCAGCCTCGTGAGGTGTGCGTGTCCAGCACACACCTGTGTGTGCATTTGGATTTATCACAAACAAAGTTACTTTTTTCCTGCAGATACGTGTATTACTTGACGTTATTGTAAATACGTTATAATGTTACAAGTTCATGTGTCCTGAGGAATTAACCATTACTCTAGGAAGTTATCTTAGAAACCACTACACTAGGAAGTTACGTAAAGTGGGCTTAATGGAAGGTTTTCCAAGCCAGTAAGTCAAAATGCAACTTTGCGGACGGAAAAGTCAGTTGAGGTGTTGGGTGTAGAAACTGAGGGACGTTCAGGGCCGGATTCAAGAGTGGGCAAAGTGGGCAGCTGTCCAGGGGCCTCCACATGTGCGGTAGTAGCTATATCAGGGCTGGTCGACTTGAATGACTCCAGTCAAGTCTCACTTTTGTGTGTGTGTTGGGAATTTGTTCACTATCAATAAATATACAGTTAATTAAAAATTTCTCAATGTTCTAATTTACTCAATATAACTGCATATGGCTTCAAAATTCTCCAAAGAAGTGTTCAAATTTCAAAATTTTCCCGGGGGGCTTACAGCGCCCCCCGGAACTCCCAGATGTTTAGGCTCGCTTCACTCGCCACCCCACCCTCTTGGGTAGTTATAATGAGGGGGGCCTCCACAAAGAAGCTGCCCATGGGCCTCCACAGGTCTAAATCCGGCACTGGGGACGTTAATATTACAATGTTACTAATGCGTTTCAAACAGCTAAGATCTTAAAGCGCATACACTAATTTCCTATTGACAGTTTGTGTAGTCAGAAAAACACAAAGTGAACAATAACAACAATACTGACATTGACTGAGCGAGAAAAAAACCTTCCAGTTGCCAACTATAAATCACTACCGTAACTCACCAAAATAGACAAACTTCCCACCCCACCTTGATAAATCCAAGGAGACATAACTTTACACAGTGTCATCACAATTACACTGATTATTGGACTCTTATGAGAATCTATTGCGAAATTTCCACATACCTAGGTTGATTTAAATATATCGGCAATCTTTTGTTAACTTCGGTAGGGAGAGCCAGGGGTTAGTGTCAGGGTTGCCAGATGGCCGTTTCCACGGCCAAACTTCTCTAATTAGGCCGTAAAAAACTTCGCCTGGCCGTGAAAAAAGTTGGATGGTCACGGCCAAAGCATTTGGCCGTATTTTGGCCGAATTTTGTAAAACACGTATTAATTCCTCATCTAGTGGATTTTGAAGAGAAGTCTAGCAGATTTTCAAATTTCACAATGAAAATGCTGGCTCGGTGACCTCACCTTGTAGTGGACGTCTCCCCTACAACTGCGTATCCGCATTCCAATGCCACAGTATCCTAGCAACCAGCCACCTGCTACGTCTTCCCTAGCAACGGAGTCAAGAAACCGGCGAGTTCCCACGGATTTACTTCCGGCTGCTGTGGATATAAGCTCTGTCTCTCCATTGAGATTCAGTCTGGCCTCGGTTCCTGAACACGCAACACCTCCTCCAGCAAGCTCCTCGCTGTCCAGCTCTCATTCAACCTGGAGGCCAGCAACAGGCAACATCTCCTCTAACGAAGCTCCTGCACATCTACCTCCTTCAACACGCTACTCACCGAACATGTCTACTGAGCAGCTCCTCACCACACGGCATCTCCAGCACCAGACTGTCTTTCATACAACTTATATTATATAAGAAAACCACCACCTTAGAGTTTCCATCCATCCATCCTGAGTGCTAGACAACATAATATCACGACACCCTACAACCTCGCCTAATCAGTGACGTCACCTCTTCACATGTTTACGTGACCTACTGAGCTGACTGATCGTTCTAGTTACTACCTTAGTTGTTAGTTCTCATATTTGAGTTGTTCAGGCTGAACGTGTCCAGCATATGGGTTAAGCTTCAGAGCTTACAAAGCCATCTGAGTTACTTTCTGAAATTCCGAGTGCTAGTTTTCAAAATGTCCACTAGTAAATGGAAAGGGTCCTAGGACAGTGGTAGAAAATATAGCAAACCAGGGGACGATGACGAACTAGACGTTTTTGCTGACGCCAACTAGTGTTATCAAGTTCTCCACCATTATCATGCTCCACCACCATTTCAGATTAAGGTAAATCTTCACTGTAGATTATAGATATTATGTTTATGTAATTATTGGGCTCTCAATTCTAAGTGAAATTTTGGTTTTATTGCGACATTTTAAGTGGATATTGTAGGGGATACTTTTATTTTGTGTGGATTGCAAAAATAGCCTTGTGCTTCCCGTCCAAAAAGTTTTGGCCGAATTTTGGGCGATTTGGCCGTGAGGTGGCGTGAAGTTGACCGTGAAGCTTGTCGTACATCTGGCAACCCTGGTTAGTGTGTGTCTGCGTCTCGGTGAGGAGGGAGACAATTTGGCTGGCAAGGAGTTGGTTGGTTCCCTGTTAGTATGAGCTTACTGGTCAAGGTCAAGCAGTGAGTAAATAAGTTGAGGAATGAAAAAATGAGTTACGTTGGTGCTAGATGACCTGATTAACACAATAGATCACACGAAGAATAGCCCTCCAGCTTATAATTTTCACTTTAAGATTTACCATCCTATTGCTAACCTAAAGCTAATCTACCATATTGTAAACCTAACCTAACCTAACCTAACGCCAAACTAACCTCTCGCAAATGTAATATAACGCTAACCGAACATAATCTAACAGGAGGACGATAATAGCCTCAGTAGCTCAAGCCCCATTCAAAAATTAAATAACAAAACAAAACTATCAGAAAAGAGGATGTTCTTAAGAGGATAAATAAACTAAAGAAGACAAAATCCCCAGGGCCGGATGAAATTTTCCCTCGAGTCTTGAAAGAGTGTAGGGAACAGATTAGCGGACCCCTTGTAAATATATTTACAAAATCATTAGACACCGGAGTTGTGCCAGACTTGTGGAAACAGGCAAATGTAGTACCCATATTCAAAAAGGGAGACAGAGCATCAGCGTCAAATTACCGGCCGATCAGTGTGACGTCAGCAGTGGGGAAATTTCTTGAATCAATTATAGCAAATAGCATTCGATCGCATTTAGAGAAAAGTAAATTAATCTACGACTCGCAACATGGGTTTACAAAGGGAAAATCTTGTCTAACAAATCTGTTGACGTTTTTTAGGAAAGTCTTCGAGGTAGTAGATAATGACGAAAATTATGATGTTATTTACTTAGACTTTAGCAAAGCATTTGACAGAGTACCGCATCAGAGACTTCTGAGAAAAATTAAGGCTCATGATATCGAGGGAAAAGTTTTAAATTGGATAAAATCATGGCTCACCGATAGAACGCAGAGGGTCAGCGTAGATGGTGTTAAATCTGAGTGGGGCCGTGTAAATGTATACAGCCTTAACATCAACCTAGAGAAGTCGACTTGTGAAAGAGACCTTGGGGTACTTGTAAGCCTTGACCTACGTCCTAGAAAACAGTGCGTTAATGTTCGAAATAAGGCAAACAGAGTATTGGGTTTTATATCTAGAAGTGTAAGTAATAAGAGTGCAGAGGTCTTATTGCAACTATATCTTGCGCTAGTCAGGCCGCACCTCGATTATGCGGTTCAGTTCTGGTGCCCTTATTATAGAATGGATATAAATTCACTAGAGTCGGTGCAGCGAAGAATGACGAAAATGATTCCGGGACTTAGAAACCTTCCATATCAGGATAGGTTAAAGAAACTTAACTTGCATTCCCTAGAAAGACGAAGAGTGCGGGGAGATATGATAGAAGTATTTAAGTGGGTGAAAGGAATCAATAAAGGGGATATAGATAAAGTTCTTATAATATCCGAGCAGGATAGGACTCGGAGCAACGGATTTAAGTTGGATAAGTTTAGGTTAAGGAGGGCGATAGGAAGAAACTGGTTCACAAATAGGGTGGTGGATGAGTGGAACAAGCTTAGCAACTTTGTAGTAAGTGCGGGAACTCTGGAAAGTTTCAAAAGGAGGCTAGATAGATTCATGGATGATAGAGAGTGGTAGTAAGAACATAAGAAGTCTGCAATAGGCCGGTTGGCCTGTGCATGGCAGCTCCTTTCGAGAGTTACTACCACTCTCTATCATCCATGAATCTATCTAGCCTCCTTTTGAAACAGGAGCTGCCATGCACAGGCCAACCGGCCTATTGCAGACTCCTTATTTTCTTATGTCCTTATGTAAAACGGGAACGAAATGTGCGCCTGGGTGGAGCTCGCCAGCAACTTACCTTGTTTAAGTATCGACCCGCAAATCTTCCTGTCGACTAATTCACAGTTGATTAACAGTGTCGACCAGAACCTGTTGATTTGTTCGTGACAAGTGACAGCAAGCAACACCAGCAACACACAAACACAGCACAGGATTAACAAAATCTCCCGTCGCTGTTCAAGACGCACTAGAAAAAGTCTGGGCTGTTGAAGTTTGCTCGTAGGCAAGATATCGGGAAATATTGTGTAACTCAGTTTTATCTTGTGAACGGTAACGTCAGCGATTTTGATAACAAAATACAGTATATAAATAAGAGATAAAAACCTGTCGTCCTGTAGTAAGTTTTCAGTGAAGTGTTTAGAGTAAAGCTTGACGTGTGCAGCTGTTATTTTTTACTCGCATCACTCGCGTGAAATATAAGAGTACAGCGTCAGTTATTACCGAGATTCAACACCAAAGGTCTTTAAGCGCGCGACAAGGTTAGCAACTACACTTCTAACAGTATAAAAAATATTGAAGATAAAACACTCTTCAGGGTCCGTCAGCCACCTTTGGATATTATACAAATCTGCTACAGTTGTCATTAACATTAATTGACGTCAGTGTAATTACTTCAGAACTCCATCTGTTATCTTTTCTATACGTTTATAATCGCTGTAAACACTACGAGCATTTATAATGTTGTGGTGCCAGTGTTAATTTTGTTGGACATAAGAATTAATGTTGAATAGATAAGAGAGTTAAGAATACTGTACCATTCTCTGATGTGTCAATGATAAATATAATCTGGGCGACCCTTATCATAGAATGACGTGCATGGCCTTGTTCAGAAATATTCGGAAAACTATAAGCACAGTTCTGTGTACGCTGTATCACTCAATGCAGTTTGCCGAGTTAATGCAAGGATTCTGGCACTTGAAGCCCTTTGGTTTATGTCAAACGTGTCACGAATACGACCACCCACTTGTTGTACCGGCCACCCGCGTGTAACATTTCTAAAGTCATTACCAAAGAAATCTAAAACAATATAGATCAACGAAACCTTTAAAAGACAATCATCACGCGTAAGAAAAGTTTTAGATATTTTGAAGACATTTTAACATTTAATAAAGGTAGGATACTGAAATACAAAATCTTATAATCCATTAGGTGTAGGGACGGAGGCGGGAAGCAGGTGACAATACCAACCATTATACTGTAGTTAGGGTTGCAACAAGATTTATACAAAACCAAAATTATACTCAAATCGTTTCATTGGGATACATGCCAGCTACAGTACCTACAGTATATTCCAAACTGGTCTGATCTTAGTCTAAAACTACAAAACGGAGAATTTCGCCTTCCCGGAGAGCAGGGTTTCCTCACTGCCGACAACCGCCACTACAAATGAGTATCAATCTGTGACTCGATCCCAACAGATTATGTACACGAAACTGCGTCTAGGGTACAGATACCTATGGGAGTACATTGGCAACCCTAAGCCTGGCCGCACTGGTCAACCCGACTCTCACACCCTCTCTCACTACACCCTCACTTGTCCTATGACCTCCTCCTACAGGTACCCAGCCGTTACCAATATCCCTCCTCCTAGAGACAGGCCTGGCATTGGGGTCCTGCCACTTTTTGCCATAAGATAAATAAATTGTACAGGGAATTTTTCCCCCACACACTCATTATTCTGTCACTTTATGTAACTTGCTGACAAAACCCATGACTCTTCAGGCTTTACGGCCCTAATGCATGAGTCAAGGAGGCAAACATAAACTCAACATGCTTCCCTGTTGGGTGCTGTAAACGTTGTTACGAGTTGGGGATTTAGAATATAGTTAAAAGTCTACCCAGATCCCAACAGGCAACAACAACAAAAAAACAAAGACAATCGGACTATAAAAGGGTAGACAAAGGATGCGAGTTTTTGTTGTGTATAATAAAGTACCATAAATTCCTTAACAAAATATTCAGCGTTCTATAATTTACCCTTAACCATACTTAACCTAAACATTAACAGTATATACATATTTATACAACATAAACCATTTTGAAGCAAGTGGACGTGGGGGAGGCAATATAAGGATACAAATACTTAAGTGCGGAGCTGAGATGGCTGACGAGTAAGGCTGAGTATTGTAGAAGACGGTAGGTAGTCACTGTGTCGTAGGTTTCCAGGATAGGTGATCCTGTGGTCACTTGAACTGAACTCTCCTCGAACTCGAGCTGACAAAGAAGACTTGGAGGAAGTGACGCAACAACCAGGATATGGAGAAGGGAAACCCCGGAGTGGTAACTAAGACGAGTCATACTCGTGTCTCGTCCCTAGATGGCGTTGCTCGTGGTGCTGGGTAGGTAGATCAGGACAATTGGTGGAGGGGTTCGTAACAACGTTTTTGCGCTTCACCTTGCACAGGATGCAAGTGGATGCCCAATAAACTAGCCCCCTCGTGGGGCAAATTACAAATTACTCGTGCCTGTTGTTTGCCTAAATTTTTTTTTCACTTCAATTTATTTTCAATTTCAACCTCGGTTTCTGTCATCACTATGGACTGTCCCAGCTAAGGGCACAGTACTACACTCAGATCATCCTTTGGACGGTCAGTCACAGCCATGGACGGACACGCCTCATTAAAATTTTCAGAAGTAAATCTTGGCATATGGCAGTGGTTTTATGGTTGTGTCCCAACAGCCTATAGCTCCAGTTGTGTAGGTTTAATATTTCAATATGCGATTGCGAATGACATTAAAAAATCGTAAATTGATTTACACATTCACATCACCAAGCCGATCTAGGTGTCTTATACTGTCCACTTCCTGCCACTCAACAACGAAGGCCCTAATAAAAAGTGCCAACACGCTTTGTTACAAAGACGCAACACGACCCGACCCGCACGACCCACATTTTGGAGAAAAGGCAATTGATGCTAGTAGCTTCTTGTCTTCCAGACAGTGCTGAGGAGATCAAATCTTCAATCTTCAGAGTTCAAATTGAACAAAAGACTGTAATGCTCAAAGACACAGTAAATGTACATACATTGAAGGGAGCAAGGTATATATAATTATTTTTTTTCCTGCGACGTTTCCTACCTGCACCCATACCTGAAACCAAAGCGGACGCTTGCCCCACAAGGGGTCACAGCTTAAGGTTGAAGAAGCCACAAGTCCAGAAAACTGTAAGGGCCAACTTTTTCGGGGTGAGAGTTGTGAACTCTTGGAACAATCTGCCAGAGAGTGTAGTGATGGCACCGAGTGTGAGCTCTTTCAAGACCAGACTTGACAAGCACTGGAGCAGGTTCAGATACAGTACTTGCCAACAGTATGTAACAGAGACATGACCGATCGTCTAGGCGGCTAATGAGCCGTCCAGTGGTGAAGAGGATAAAAGTAAAGTAAGAGTTGCAATGTACACTCAGGAGCCAGTGCATGCCCAGTACATGCCAACAGTGTGTAATAGAGACGTGACCGACCGCCCAGCAGCTAATGAGCTGACCAGTGGCGAAGAGGTTACAGCAAGTCCTCGCTTAACGTCATGGTTACGTTCTTGAAAAGCACAACGTTGACAAAAACAATGTTAACGGAACCAATTTTCCCCATAAGAAATAGATAAATACGCTAGTTATGTTCCCCAGCCTCTCTTTGCCCCATAAAATACATTACATATACATAAATTCAATGGAATTTTTGTAAAAAATATATATTATACAACCAAAAAAGATAACTAAACTAAATCATTTTGTATTGTACTCACTGATGGGCAGAGGTGAAGCAAGTGTGTGGTGGGTAGTGGAGAGGAGGAGGGTGGCAAGCCATTGAGACCCGGAGGGGGGCTCCCCTTCCCGCTCTGACTGGGGTTCCCCCGCAGCTGCTGTTCGCTCCTCCTCCCTTGCAGGCTGTTGTAAAGATGTTACTTCTGCCTCCTGACGACGAAAAAAAAAGAATCCAGCGTTGACTGCTTAGTTCTCCTCTTCTTTTTTCCTTGTATATCTCAGTATAACACCGAAGAGTTTCCTCCATGTTGCGGAGAATCTTTGAGCTACGTTCTCTGTTCTCAGTGAAGATTTACATTGCTTGCTGGATCATGTCGAATGCTTCTGCCATCCTCTTGGTAGTCAGCATTCATTGTGGTTCTTCTTTGTCGTCAGAGTCTTCAAAGGCACTTTGTTCTGTTAGCAGTTGCAGATCTTCATTTGTTAGCTCTTCTGTATGGGATGCCAGGACTTGCTCAATATCCTCAGATTCCAACTCATGAAAGCCTACCTGTCTGGCCAAGCTGAGGATATCCCTATTCAAAGTTGGGACTAAGCCTGTGAATCCCATAAAGCTGTTCACGCACTCGGGCCATAATTTACACCACATACCATTCGGGCAACTTTTTGAAACTTCTTCCCATGCCTTGCCAAAGTTGTCGATTGCATGAAGAATGTTGAAGCCAAGCCAATATCCTTGGATCGTAGGCTTATTTTCTCCATCAGTAGCCTTGAGAAGCTGGCCCATGATACGCCGTAAATAATACGCCTCGAATGTGGCGATAGCGCCTTGGTCCATAGGTTGCACCAGTGCTGTCGTGTTGGGAGGCAGGAATACAACTCAGACACTGTCACGTAAATTGTCGAGACTGGGAGGATGAGCTGGAGCCTTGTCAATGACAAGAAGAATTTTAAAGTCTAGGTTCTCCTTGGCACAATAATCCTTCATTGCATGGACGGCGTACAAATTTAACCACTGGCTAAATTTGGCGCTGGTTATTCATGCCTTCTTATTTGCCTTGTAAATGACAGAAAGGTGATCTTTAGGGTAACCTTTCAGGGCACGTCGGTTGGCAGCGCGAGCAATTAACACGGGCCTATGCTTGAAGTCGCCAGCAGTGTTTGTGCCAAGCAACAGCGTCAAGCGGTCTTTTGCCGCTTTAAATCCTGGTGCTCATTTTTCTTCCTTTGAGATATAGGTTCTTTCGGGCATCCTCTTCCAAAAGAGACCGGTCTCATCCACATTGAAGACTTGCTTCGCTGAGTAGCCTCCTTCCTCAATAATGTTCTTGAACTCATGCGGGAATATCTAGGCAGAAACCATATCTGAACAAGTGGCTTCACCAATCATCTTAATATTGTGGAAGTTATAACAATGCTTAAAACATTGAAACCATCCTCGGCTGGCCGTAAAGTTCTCATCCTTTGATCCTTCACCCTCTATGGCATTTAAGTCATCAAACAAGGATTTTGCTTTATGCTGGGTAACCATAAGGCTCACAGGGGCATTGCATTGATTCTGGTCCTCTGTCCACATAGCCACCATCTTCTCCATCCTCTCAATCACAGAACTTCGAGCAAGATTTGTCTTTGTTGCACTCATAGAAGTATCACTTCCAGCACTAGCCTTAATCTTGTCTATGCTGGTCCGGATAGTACACACTGTTGTGGGGGTTAGACCTTGTGCTACACCAATGTCCACAGCACGTTCACCTTTCTCAAAACAGTTTAAAACCTTCATTTTCGTAGCAAGGCTAATGGTCTTGCCATCTTCACAATACTAGCATCACTAACACTTGATGGGCGCTTGGAAGCCATTTCGAATGGTTATAGTACAGTATTTACAGCAAAAACGCTGAAGTAAGCACGTACGCTGTGGAAGCCTAACAAAGACTGGGGACACTGTGACGCTCCGCAAGAGAGTGTAGCGCGCCAAGAGAGAGAGGGTGATGTGCCATACAAAGTAGTCTTGTGTTGGGTGACAACGTTATAACGAATCGATCGGGACGTTGTCGCAATCATGGGTATCTAAAGAGTAGCGACATTATGACGAAACAACATTGTCTGGGACAACGTTAAATGAGGACTTACTGTAAAAGTTAAAAGTAATTGTGGCTGATAAGGCTAAAGTTTCTGCTGCTGGAAGTGTTGAGAGAGCATTGTAGTCCATTCCTATTGATAGTTGCAGGGAGACAAGAACTGGCAAAGAAGGAGGCTAGTGGTGCAATGAGTTCCTGCTTTGGTACACACTCAGACTTCATGGTGTCCAAACCTAGAAAGATCATGCCAAAGATGACAATTGCAGGTATTCCTACTGTATTTCCTGATGACTAATTGTCTCGGGCATTGCTGAGGAGAATAATGAAGTTAAAAAACTGATAAAAAAAGGCTCCAAGTTATCCCTTATCTTCACAAAGATAAAAGGAGAAAGTAAACTCTCAATCTTGAAGAAGTCACCTGAAGTACGAAATTCCATAGAGAAATTTCAAGGATACGTTTATGTTGGACTGAACAGATGCAAAACTTTTGACAGGTTTTAGGTCAATTAATGCTACCACTGCCAAAAATTTGGATACCCCACTTCAGGTTGTTCCAGGAAGCCTGGTGCTTCAGTTTGTGCCTTCTGTGCAGACATTCATGAGTCTAGGACATGCTCAAATAAGACCTCACCCTGCTGTGGAAATTGTTCCACTCCTGTAGTACCACCAGAGTCAGTCAGTCATTTTCCATAAAGTAAAGATTGCCCTATATAGACTTCTCAATAAAAAATAAAATAAAATGAAAACACTGACTTCTTCAAAAAAGCATAGTGCTCCCCTTGAACTTATTAAAAATAGGTCTGCTTAATACCCATGTGATCCAAAATAGAATTTGTCACATTAATGAGTTCCTGAGGGAGTTCAGCTTGGATATCCTCTGTGTACCTGAAATGTGGTTGTATGAATCAGACATCAACATTATTCTTTTGTTCATGTTCCCACACCTGCCGTAGGAGCTCTGGGTGGCCCTGATCTATTGTGGTCCTGCTCAACATAAGAATGATTACTAGTTACCTTTTTTCCTTTGAATTTATGGAGGCATTAATAAATCTTCATTGCCCAGTTATTAGAATTGATGTTGTGTATCGTCCTGGTCACCCAGGTACAGATAGGGAGTTCCTGGATCAATTTGGTTTATTTATTAAGACTTTTTCAGGGAAGAATGGGCGACGGTTGTTCTGTAATGACCTTTTTCTTCCGAGTTCTTTTTAATTCTCATTCTCAAAAATTTTGCCAATATGTGTGTTGTCCAGCACATCTTGTTGGACACACTAGACCTAGTTTTGTCTCCTACTGTGATCATGTATTAGATGTTGACCTGATCAATCCAGCAGTCTCTGGCTATGCTTTGGTACTTTTGTTTTAATATCCCAAGACCCTCTTACAGGAACTATAGAAACATTGACCAGACCAAGATTAATCAGGAAGTCCTCTGATGAGAAGGCCTAAATTACATAATAATGTCTTCCAATCCATTTCCGACTGTTATTGTCCAGAGGTCACGAAGAAAATTTCAGTACTGTATATAAGTTCTCTTCATAGGGATCATAGAAGTGCAGGCGGTGAATAGACCATTCTTGATCAGAGTACTGCATATGACTGTGTAGTAGGGCTGGTGTTTGTTCAGTGAAGGCATGGAAAGTTGAATACAACAGAAGTCAAGTCGCTTCTTGTGGCAGTGATCAGAAAAAATGTATGCAGTTTTGAATGGGCTGTTGGGCTAAAGGTCTGGAACTACTGTGCCTCAGATTTTTCCTTATTTTTTTTTATGACAAAGATATCACATGCCTGTATAAGAAATTACCCTGATTGTGTTTCTTTAATTGAATAATTTTCAGTTAAATTTTAATTGAGTTATGCCATAAATCTCACTTTCATCATTTTGTCCTGATGGGATGAACAACATTCTGCACTATATCATGAATTCAAAGAAAACTTTTTGTCGTCTTGATTCTGTAAATTTATCGAAGGTACCACTCACTTATGAACATGTTCCAGACTTTATTTGTATAATCATAAATAAATGTTTTGCAGAGGGCAATTTTGTGCAATCTGAGAAACAGGGTTTATTATGTCCACTTTTTAAGAAACCTGGTCTTGATATTGAAAATATGTCAATGAATCATCCAGTCTCCAATCTTTCATTCTTATCAAAGATCATAGAGCGTACTATCCTGGATCAGTTACTTCTCTCTGTTGAAAGAAATGGAGTGATCCCTCTGGTCCAGTCAGCCTATAGGAAGTGTTATTCAACATATACTGCCTTGAATAAAATTCATAATGATTTAGTAATATATGCTTGCACAGGAAGTCCTCCCTCCTGGTCTTGCTGGATCTCTCTGTAGCTTTTCACACGGTTGATCATCTTCTGTTGCTTCAGGATCTTTGGTCGTTTGGTGTCTGTGAGAATGTACTCTCACTGCTTAAGTCAGAATGATCCCAACATGTGATGGTTGGTGGGACCATTTCAGACCCGCTCCCTTTGCAGTTTGGAGTCCTACAGGGATCAGTTTTGGGACTTCTTCTTTTTACAGTCCACACCAGTAGTCTTGCATCTCTGCTGGATGCTCATTGTGTTGCCTACCATTTCTCTGTCGATGGCACACAGTTGTATGTGGAAATAAGAAATGTTGAGGATATTGAGATAATGAAATCCTTGATGTCTGATACTGTATTAAGATTTGGATGGCTAGGGGAAAACTTAAGCTGAATGGCGGCAACACCGAGATTATCGTCATCAAAGGAAATAGGAAGGGAGACGGCACAGATGATTTTGGCTCTTTTAAACTTTGGGGAAGTACAACTCAGTCCTGTCGATTCTCTTCACAATCTTGGAGTGTACTTTGACTCAAAACTGAATTTTAAACAGCATATAAATTCAGAAGTTAGGAATTGTAACTTTCATATTCTTAATCTACTATATGCTGTTAAACAGTTTTAGGTTAGACAGTGTCTTGTGACACTATTACATTCACTTATTTTGTCTCAAGTTGACTATTGTAACTCTTCATGAGTCTACCTGCCTAATTATCTACTGAAGAAAGTTCAAACAGTGTTGAACAGGGTTGCCAGACTTATTTTTGCTCTCCCACTACCCCATTCTTGATTGAATTACATTGGCTTCCAATAAAAGCTGGGATAAAGTTCAAACTCTGTCTAATGACTTTTAAGACACTAATGTTTGGTGAGCCTAAGTATTTGGCCAACCTACTAATTCCTCTAACAACACATTCTGGAATGATTTTGCATGGTAGTGATGATCGAGGAGCCTGGTGTGGTACGGGAATGTTTTTTGCTGCCTGATCCTTTTCCTATACAGCACCCAGAGTGTACATCAGTTACCTGCATCCATGAAGCAGCTGACTTCTGTGGAGGCCTTTAAGAAACAACCTAAGACCTTTCTTTTTTGAAAGCTTATGATCCTGAACTAGATACAGTGATGGAGTACAGGGCTTAGGAAGTGTTAAAACTTAAAGAGTACAGTACAGTACTGTATATGAATGATACAAGTCATATGCACTAGTGAATTCTTTAGAAGAACTGGCACTTTTGAAAAACAAAAGACCAGCTATTATTATCACAATTATCAAATCCATCACATTGTCTCAGCCACACTTGCTTATCCCTGGCTCATGGCCTCAGTGGCCTTGCATCAGTTCTCTCCTTGTCCTCAACTAGTACTGGATGAGCAATTATTTGAATGAGAAAACTTTATGATGAACTGTTTAGAAGGAAACTTGTATCCTTGTTCTTTTGGGGTGCTATGTACACTAGCATAAGCATTTGAAACATTCACTATCACCTCCATGTTAATTTATGCTGACTTCAGATACTTAGCCACCAAGTGAAGGGTGGCGAGCTATAAATGAAGGATTGCTCCCTGAAATCCCAATTTATGGTTGAGTTGAGCTTATAACCCTTCCACCTCTAAAGGGCTGGTGTGGAAATCAGCCAGGAATAAACAAGGTTGAATCTTGGAAGACCTGTAAGGCCATCCCAGAGAATATGAGACATGCACAGTTTCTTACTTGACCTCTTCCCTCTATTGTATGAGAAGGAAAAACCTGGGCTTTTGTTACTTGTACTTTTGGGGAGTTTTACTTATTATTCAGATTCAAGTCCAGGTATTACTGCCAAGCTCTTCCAAGTCCTGGAAAAGCACACTTTCTGAAGTTGCTTAGGTGCAAGCTTGGCCCTGAAATTGGATGTCGGGATCAATCTTATTTTTCTTATTCTGGTTCATCATCTTTATCAGTCAGTGCAAAAGATAATTATTCCGATTGTTGATCCAGGGCAAGCTTGTTTATAGTTAGGGAAAGTCTGGATTCTTTAAAAATTTTCTATTAAACATTTTCAACAATGGAAAAAATATTTCACAAAGTTTTGAAGGGCAATTAACAATTTATTCAGATATTTTATACACATTAACAAAACCATTTCAGTCAACAAGTCATGAAATTTTTTATCCACAACATTTAGCTAAGGTTAACAAAATAGCATCATCTTAATAAAAAATGACCTGTTTTACTTAATTGTTTCTGAGACCATTTATCCTTAATTGTATATGCTATTAATGGAGGTATGACACAACATCAGAGTATGTTGTACAGAAAACAAAAATACAGCAGTCTGAACAGAGGATATGGTCGATTGGTAAAATGGGCCTGTCCTGCCTAATAGGACCAAACCTAACCTAACCATTAAAATTGGGGCTCAGTCCTAATGGGACCCAATCCTAACAGGTCCCAATCCTAATGGTTCATTTAGGTCAGAACCTATTGTATATGGGACCAATTTGACCTGCAACCAAGTTTACTTGAGATGACTAATGCCACCATTATGAAGGAAACATGTAGTATAAATAAAGAATATGGCGTACAGTACTTCATTGTGTATTCAGTGGCAGCTGAGAATTTACCCGTGCTATAAATACTTATTACTGTGTGTCTTGCTTTTAATATTTTGACCATGACAAACTCTCATTGTGTTACACTGGAAAATGTACAATATTGTGTCAGTCTCATCTATGGTGTTTTGTCTATTCAAAATAGGATGAAACATGCATAAATTTTCCTCAAATATTCCACCTGCTTAATCTCTCCACACCTTTAGTGCTTAAAATGACTACACATGGAATTATTTGCTGAAAACTCTGTACTGTTTAGTTATTATATAAATTAAATTAAACACCAATTGCTACTGATAAAAAGCAAATAAGTGAACAATAAAGGTGCTACCTAAGCAAGTACAGTACAAGAATATATTAAAATTGTAAATTTTGGGTATGGAAATGAGACGAAAGTAAACATTTTGACGTGAGGAAAACTAAACTTTTTTTTTACTCACTCTTGCGAGCCCTTTCCTGCTATGGCAGAGGCTGACCAGAATCAAGAGGAGCTTGGAAACTAATTATCAACGGGAAATTTAAATACTTTTTTTGCGAGGGACAGTACCAGATAGTACTGCAGTGTGTATGTATGTCAATTTTAAAGGATGAGTCGGAGATAACATTAGTCCCAAATGTTTAATAACCAATATCTAGTCTTCACCAATATTTTCTTTTCTTTCTGAGGGGTTCCATGTAGCGTAAGTGAAGGGTGACCTCATGCCCCTATACTATATGAGGATATCACCAGCCCCCCCCCCTCCCTCCCATTGTCTGAAATGGTTTTGGCACTCCCATGGTAAACACTGAGAAATTTATACGCTACTGATGGATAAACTATAATAATGAAAGTGAAACAAGTATATAAAACTATGAGGAAAAGGTTAAGATTAGCATTCATACATCGAAGAGACAGACCACAGATGATTGTATTTTGTAAGTTATCTCTACGTCTCACATTCTGCCACCAAACACGTATATTAATGTTAATTTAAATAGCTATGACACATCTCCCACTAATACTACTATGAAACACCACGGCACAATGACAAACTTAACTGTAGTGAGCAGGTATGACTTTAATGATTATGAACCCAGAACAAGACAACCTCATTTGGTAATATTTATTTTTACCAAACGTTTGGTTGCAAATATATAATGTGATGAAAACTTTAAAACATTGGCTGTACATTAATTATCACATGTGGTGTGAGCAGAGTTGATCTGTACACCACATGGTACACATTGTATTATTTTTAACATGAACGATTAACATGTATAGGGCAGTTGGCACAGGTACGTGAAGAATTATATAATTTCTACTGCGAGCGTAACTCCACATCGAAGTTAAATAATTCAGGGAAAGCAAAATTTTCATTGATTGCTACAACTGACTACAGAAACACTGAAAATAAAAAGTATTTACATTTTCAACATTTTATCATGGGATTAACACCAATAATAGTTGAGAGGATTCACAGTACTGTGAATGTCAACTTTGGAAATGAAACACATTAAAAGATGGAAACTTGTATTAATTTATATTAAATATTAGCTTCGGTCCTTTAATAAAGGGTTCAGTTTCCACCTGTAAGAGGTTACTTTAAGACATGCTCAGCCAAGCATTTTGGAAGGGAAATAAATAATAAACTGGGTACCACAAGTGGCAAAGAATAAAATACAGATGAAATGATTCATTTGAGAACTGGGAGAACTCAAAGAGCATCTTTGAGAGATGTCAAACAGACGTTATAAAGTAATGAAGCAGAAGAACACACACTTAACATACAGTATTTAGTATCACACACAATGATGGAATGTGCAAACCTGTACGCACACAAATTATCAAGTAATATGTGTAATGTGTTATACAGTATTCCTATTTCTACTTTTTTTTAAGGAACACACTTTACTTTTGTTGCAGTGAGCCAACTAAGTACTGTATAATAAAATAAACAAAATGATCTTTGATGATGGTTAGTATGATAAGATGTGAAGAACAAAACATTTTGGTGTAACGTGAGTATGGCGGTAAAGATAACAATGAGGTGCGTTTTGCTGGTGTTTGTGAGGCATACTGTATGGAAAATGACATTTTGATGATATAACAGTTTCAGCTGCAACAAATGATTGATTTTTTTACAGATACGTATTACTGTATTGTGAACATTACAAAAAAGCTTAACATTCTTTATGCTGTTTTTCACAATTTATATGGGGGCAACCGCCAGGTGAGAATAATTGGGTTAGTTCAAGGCTTTAAGATTGGGCTGCTAAGCACACCCTGCTGACCATAGTTAGCCTGGAGAAAGAACCTATCTCTCATGGGTTGTGCTACCAACTGAGCCATGGTGCCCATAAACTTTTTATAGTGATATGTTTTACAATATGAAAACAGCTGAAATACCAAAAGCAGTGCAATTCAGGCCTAAAATGGTGAAGAATATGGTAGGTAAAAATTAAAGATAGCAAGGCCACTGTGGTACCCTATTCAGGGACTGACCAAAGGTGGCCTAGCCTTAATCTGCCCCAATCTAACAATTAGAAGTGAAACCAAGACCTAATTGGCCACATTCCTAATGGTTTGGTCAGGTTAGCTTGGGACCTATTAGGACTGGACCTCATTTGACCAGCAACCCCTTATACATAAATCCTCAGTTAAATCAAACTAGTAAAAAATAGACTATCTCAGATGAGGAAAAACTCAAAATTACCAACAATAACATTTGACTGGGAAAATAAATATATATATATATATATATATATATATATATATATATATATATATATATATATATATATATATATATATATATATATATATATATATATATATATATATATATATATATATATATATATATATATATATATTTTACAAGGTATAGAAATGCACAACGTTGTACAATAATTTCCACCACTTTTGGTTATGGTATGACGATGACAGAGTTTATAACAAGAAGGAAATGTACAATAAATAATTCTCAATTATGGGTATGTATAACAATGATAGAACTGTATACCCCCTGTATACTGTACTGGTACAAAGAAATTTACTCAATTAATAAAATTAAAAATTTTGGCCTTATTGTAACTAACTCAGAGTTTTAAGACAGAATATTGCAATTCTAAAATCATATTCACGAGTTTTACCCGAAGTACAACACTAGTTGGCACTTTGAGAAAAAAATGAATGTTGTACAGTATTAAAATAATTTTCATAAACTTTGACTCATGTATGACAGACACATGAGCAGCAAGTCAACATACAAAACAGTGTATCTAGCTAGAGTCAATAAAGGTTAGTAAAAGGCAACAATACAGCAGTCAACATGAAAGGTTCATACACTTAATATATTTAAGTGTCTTAAAATTATATCTATATAAAAAGTAATGTTATATTTTGAGAAAGAAGCCATAAATCTTTATGAAAGAATAATAAACAAATGCTATTCTACATTGGCACCTTTTTTATGTACCCACAAATGGCACAGAAAATATGTTCATATTTGGTTAGAATTCCAATTTAAAATAGCTTGCCATTCCTTAAGAAAAAAAAATGATGGATATACTTATATAAATAATTTAGTTACAATGAAAATATACCAATCTGGAAAGATGTTTTAAACCACCATTTGTATTATTCCATTACGATTATCTCATATTTATATATACATGTACAGGGTGTCGTTACTTATGCCAAAGGAGCGTTTTATTTCTTGAAAATGTGACAAAATGAAATGATCATAACCCCATTAAAATTATTTGAAATAGCAGGGTTTGGTTCGAGGGATTTTTCAAGACAAATTCATTCAAAATACCAAACTGATGGGTTTCCTTGTGTTCTCTGGGGTAGGCACAGCACTATCACTTCTTGGAATAGTTTGTAATATGTGTGGAGAAATGATAAATGGAATATATCCAGAAACTGCAGTGCTCAAACACTCGCTGCTGAGCATAAAGTAAACAACTTCCATGCCCATCCAGAGTGAGGGGGTAAATGTTGTGTGCCTCCCAAGTGGTCCCGCATTTCCCATCACAAACTACTGTACTCTGTAGATGTATTCTTGCAGACGACGGCATGACTTTATACGGATACAGGATCTAATTAATCAGTAACACTACAAGTATAATGAATCACAAAAGGAAACAAATTTATATGGGGACACCCTGTATATATATATAAATATAGTATATATATACTGTATATATTTACATTCTAAAAACTCTGTTTTATTAAGTTACAAAAGTAAACATTTACATATAAATTTATATAAATTCTAAACAATGTGTTTTGAAATTCATAATACTGATGACATGGTTATTTACGATTGTCAACATCCCAAAGCATATTTGTCAAAAATACATCATTTCTGAATTATAATGAATAGTTTCCAAGATTCACTTCCATTTATAGTCCAGAATATCCAGGGTACCAGAGCTCGTCACTTATAGCCTTCTTAACATTACAAAACAACAGACAGCACTGTATATCAAACAAAAGAAAAATGCCACTGTCGGATATCCACGATGGTGAAGGTTGTCAAGTCTTGGTTAATGCCAGCACTGACATAGCACTGCTCATAATTTCTTTACCTACATCGGCCTTCTTATTTAGTTTTAAAGTGGGACGGTAGAAAGGGATTATAGAGGCAGGGGGGTGCAGGATTCTTTACCTCGCAGGGATGCGGGCGGTACAACTGTAATTACTGTACAGTACCAAGTTTTATGAGGTCGGCAAGTTGCCATTCTTTTACTAGATAGATATTCAAGGAGTATAAACTTAGTAGCTGTTTTTTACATTGGCCTGGTTCAATTCCTCATGAACCTGGTGGCCTCCAGGAAGCTAGTGACGTTCAGGTTGATTCTCTTGTAGTTTGAGGTTTTAGTGAAGAACTGTCTGCCCAGCCCAAGGTTCTCATTCTCTTCAGTGACAGATACAATGACTTTAAACTTTAAAACATTAAATAACTGGAAACTTAATGGCTCAGCTTGAAAATTAGATGGTAATTTAGCTGCCAGTCACTTCAAAATGAGAAGGCTGCATATGATGGTTAGTGTCCACCTCAAATTATTTTCTCCTTCTGTATCCAGGATGTCCTCACTTGCCTTTAATGAACCTACAGCTCCTTAAAGACCCCAACTTTAAATTTAGTTTTACACTTGCATCTACCCTGGCCTCTCTTAACTTGAGTATTTCTTGTTACATATGACTTATCATTACGTACAATAATGGCAAACTTTAAACACCTAATGTTATAAAAAATATATGTGGTAGCTATCAGTTTATAATTTGGAAATTTTCCTTTCATATTTTTTAAGGAATATAAATGGAACTACTCAATTTTCTAAAAACATTACAATGGATGATAAGAATTAGTCTTTTTAATTTGCATTAATATCAGTCATTTCAAGACATTTATTACCTGTATCTAGGCTAGTTTTTCATTTAATGAATTCCAGTAAGTGAAACCAGAGCACACATCAAACACTGCATAAGACTAATGCCCTAAAAATTTTGGTTAAAATCCTGAAGTAGTCTTGTCAATTAAAAGTTTCCTCTATGTTAACTTATAACTCATCATCTCTGCTCTATTCACATAACACCTGTGCTGCTTAACAACACAACTTTCCTCCCTCCTGATCCCCAAGTCTCCAATAAGAAAGGTAAAACTTTTGTGTTACCTTTAGTAACTTCTACTGCAGCATTTTTAACTATCTCATCCTGTCAAATCCAAGTTCCACATCTATGCCTGGTCTGTTATCCCCAGCGCTCTCCATTCTCTTAATTCTGTAGTCCTCCTAAATGTTCTGGACCTGGATATCCATAAAATAAAAAAATATTCATAACACAATAACTGCTGCTATGCACATCTTCATTTTCACCAGAATTTCCTAAAACTGGCCCAGGTCACAAAACACTGCTGGGGTAGCATTATGGCAGTACAGTATAGTACTTAGTCAGCAAAAATAAGAGCAAACACTACATCTGTCTTTACAACTTGTGTGTGGACACAATTACAACCTGGTAACACAACAGATCCGAGTCATTCAGAACAATGATTCATAAACCTTTTTCCAAGTTACCTTCAGATCCATCTCCCTTTAAAAATTTTCCCTGATCTAATCTGTGTACAGTGACTGACTGACACACAAGGAAACACTCACTACGACTAATAATAATACCCTGGTTCCCACTTGATGGGAAAAGGGTAAAATGCTTTCTTTACATATTATATTGCATGCCTTCCTTACATGGCAAGCTCTGACATACCCAGTATGACCCCAAAAAAAATTTGAACACATTTATCCTGTGGCAAAAACACCTTCCTATAAATCAGTTTCTTAGTTTTAGATATCACATATCATGGCACAGGTATGGCAACCCCTTGTACATTCAGGTCTCAAGATCCTGCCAGGTTGAACATGTATATTAAGAGCTAGCTAACTCTAGACAATCTGGCAAAAAAAAAAAAATAAAAAAAAATACGAGTTTGGTACATCAGTTTTCCCTTGTTTACTTACACCAGTATATCAAAACAAAAAAGCATGAGAAATGCATGGTCAATACACCACAAATATTTTTGGGTCTTGTATCCAAGAAATTCTTAGCCCTTAGAGTACTGTAATTTAAAAAAATAAAATAAAATAAATAAATAAATAATAATAATAATTAAATCATGCAACTAAGGTACACCCCCATGGCCGAAATATATATATTTTTAAGTTAATTAAGTAATGTATATTAAACCTCTTAAAAAAGTATAAAAGGAATTGGAATAAGGCAGCAGACCTGGACCAACAACATCTATGTTCCTTTATGTGTTTCTGGATGAATACACATGTGATGCTGGTTCACGGCAAGGATCAACATGTGGTGAACTCATCCTTTAATGCCTTACTCACACCCATGTAAGTGTTGCAACAACTACATTGAGGGTCTACTGAACAACACATTTTATTTTACAGATTAAAATTGAGTAGAAAAAAGGCTAAGTTTCTGGCGAGTCGAGATAAAATGTGTGAATGGTTTAGACAGTACAGTACAGTACAGTACAGTACAGTACAGTACAGTACAGTACACAGAACAGTACAGTACACAGTACAGTACAGTATGAGTAAATGATTTATCGGTAATTATGTGGTGTTACAGCATACCCTGACCTCAAACAATATACTGTACTGTACTGGGTGTCGGCCTTCACCAAAAGAAGACTGCTGGCCCACATACAGTATTATACAGAATAATCTATACTGGACTGTAATATTTCTTCTGTATACAGTATATAAAGACTATGTATGTGTTCCTGGTATTCAATGCAACACATAAATCTGGAAACATTTACTCTTTCTGGAATTAAATTATTAAAAAAATCATGGGCATGATTACATGAACACCTAATCAATTGAGGATTACCTTGTTCAATATTCATTCACTTAAAGCTCAGTCAATTATCCAGTTTCAGCAATAAATTACTTCCCTTTTGTTAATGAACACAAGTTTGAAGTCAGTACCTCAGGTGAGGCTTCAGTGATATGATGAGGAGGTTAATGTAAACAAGTTTGAAGTCAGAACCCCAAAAGAGGCTGCAATATGACAGGAGAGATTAATGAAAACAAGTTTGAAGTAAGAACTTGAGACGAGACTTGAGTAATACGCCGAGGATGATTGGTCCTACACTATACAGTTGTTTCCCTGAACACATGACCGTGGGAGTCAGGAGGGGCAGCGGCAGAAGCCAAGTAGTGAGTGGACACAATACCCTGTGGACCACACCTCAATGTTGTAGCAGACTGGTCACTTTCTTCCTCCACATTTTCTGTTTCCTGGTTAGGCAGTTCAGTCATCTCTCCCGGCTCCCGGAGCTGCCACACAGGTTCATCCACGGGGGTGCCATCATCTGTGGGGCAAGGTAACCAATGCAACCATACAACCAAGATGAAGTACATCTACCAGAGCAGATTATCAATGAAACAGTTTTTCTGTTTAGTTTAATAACCTGTGAGATACATCATACTATTTAACAGGAGGTTGATGGAGAGGTTCCTTTAGAAACTCAGGTTCCTGAACTATGCAGCACACAAAGCCAGTCTTCACTATATGGCATGTGATTCTACCAGTACAGTACAGGTGTTTTTTATATATATATATATATATATATATATATATATATATATATATATATATATATATATATATATATATATATATATATATATATATATATATATATATATATATATATATATATATATATATATATATATATATATATATATATATATATATATATATATACACACACACACACACACACACACACACACACACACACACACACAGTTGTACCCCGCTTAACGCGGTTTCACTTAACGCGATTTCTCATATACGCGGTGCCTCGCCAGAACCGAACTTTCACTTAACGCGGTTCATCTACTCAAATACGCGGGAAGCGTCGCGGGCACGATGCGCACAAGGTCGCCCAGTCATCAAAACATTACCGAGTTCTTCACCCGCCACCCACCACAGCCGGCCCAAATCAGTGATAGTGATAATTATAGTGAGGATATGGACTTATATGGACTTTGAGGGGTTTGACAAAGAGGCCCTGCAAGCCTCTGTGGTGGATAGTGATACAAGTGATACAGGTGAGGGCCAATAATCTGCCCTCTGCCTCGGAACCAACCCCATCCCGTGTGCCCAGCCATCTTTTCTACTAATGTAAGTGTTAAAAAACCTAATATTATTGATATTTCTCTTAATTGTGTGTGCATACCATCATAAAGTTAAGATAATATTTTTACTACAACATAGTTGTGTGTAGTCAAAAAGTGGAGTTTTGAAGTCGGGCCAGTCTCTATTGGAATTAATCCCATATGTTCTGTTGTTCACTTAAGCGGTTTCATAACGTGGTACCCTGTGGGTTCAATTGACGCGTTAAGCGGGAACAACTGTATATCTTTATATATATATATATATATATATATATATATATATATATATATATATATATATATATATATATATATATATATATATATATATATATATATATATATATATATATATATATATATATATATATATATATATATATATATATATATATATATATATATATATATATATATGTGTGTGTGTGTGTGTGTGTGTGTATAATTATTTTCTATAATAATGTCTTATATATAACATTGTACAGTACTACCTTCCTATAAATATCTATTAACTTATATGAACAAAAATATAACCTCTACACCACAGAAACATTACTGTACCTGATAAAAGCCTTACATTAACATAAGTTTATACTATATAAATCCTATGTCTTTTCATATATTCTAGAATTGTTTATTGTCCTAAATAGTAATATTACCATTCCCAATTTGTCGTTAATAATCCCTACTACAGCCATTAACATAACTCTAATACCAAATATGCAGAAGGGTCATATATTTCAGCATCAAGTCTCCAAAACTATACATTGACTGTTTCTCACATTTAATATGAACCAAATACTGTACTCGCTCATCACCCATGACAAGTTACAGTTGACCAAGTTTCAAGTTAATTTTTTATACCATTTGTTACATACCAATTATACAAGATTCAAACTACAATAAAGACATAAAGAGACAACTCATATGAGTCTGGGTAAAAGATCTAGATATACAGTAGATGGGTTATTTACTCTAGTTGATGAGAAGAAGACCCAGTGTTAAGTGGAAGATTCTAATCTGGCAGATACAGTATTATGGAAATAATATCGAGTCAAAGACACACACACAAACACACATATGTGTGTCACCCACACAACCATGCATCTTCAAACAGGGTTTTAATTCAAATGGTTTATATTGTGCCTAAAACAAAATTTTCTTTTACAAGATAAAAGAGAACTATATTTGTTACTATTTCAGTGCTCAAGAGTGCTGTAGTTTGACAAGTTTGTTTAATAATTTACACAAAGTCATTCAAATCTTCTCTGGGTTTCCTACCTAAACAATAAGTGAAAACCCTGTTCAAGGCACCTCAGTAAAAATGATAAGCTGGATGAACCGATCATGTGAGAAGGACCAACAACACAAAAGAAGGTAGATATAAAGGTGCATAAGGGAACAGCATAAGAACAGGCCAAGAAAGACACAAATTATCACATGAACTGTCTGCTGAGTTTATGTATTTACAACAAACTACAGAAAGGCAGTAGTGTGCGTGTAGTCCTCGTTATCCGAGTCATCAATATCCGTGGTTTCGTATTTACGAGGCCAAATTATTGCTGAACTACAGTGGTCCCTCGGTTAACGAACGCCTCGGTTAACGAACGCCTCGGTTAACGAATTACCTTCCATAAGAATCTTCAATTCGGTTAACGAACAAAAATTCAATTAACGAAATCCTTACGAAAATCACGTTTTGTTGTGAGCATCAGCTGGTCAGCTGATGGCCCAGTCTGCCAATTCAGTAATCTGTTCTAAGTTTAAATTCGTTTCCAATGGAGTAAGTATCCTGTATCAATAAATTTGAGCTTTTTAATAATTTTGAATGTTTTATATTAAAATTATTAGTCATTTTAATATTTATTTAATATTGATACAGGGAACTAGTTAGCTGTGCACCCATCAGGTGCGTGGGTCGGTCACCAGGCATCAGTCTGGCTTTGTTTTCTGTGGAGAGAGCACCTATTTTGTTGGTGTCTTGAATATTTTTGCATTTTTCATTGAAATTGTTGGTCATTCTGAACTTTAGTTAATATATTGATAATATATAGCGCAGTGCAGTGTTGATTTAAAGAAAACAATCTTGAATTACACCTAGTGAACTTAAAATTTTATTGGTGAAATGAGGCATCAAGCATGGGTCCACTGAAAGTGATTTTTCCTCCATCCACTTCCTTCTCTTCTCCCTTCTCCTCCACCCCACTTCTAATTCCCATCATTATCATCATCAACCAGGAGCCTTGTACATACACACCTCAAAGTAAGTGTACCTTACTGCATTTTTTTTACTTTGTGTGTACTTTTCGGTGACCTGGTGTCATGATCGTGATGACGGCTAACCTGAAAACCTTAAGGATTCATATTACGCTCAAATGTCCACAAAACCTTCTGAGTCCCCCAGTGGAAACGTCCTCCGTTTTCTCTGTTTCCTTGATGACATCGAGAGGCCATCTTTGTCTGAAGGAAACTTTGAATATAATCCGCAGATTTCGTAGCAAGACGCTGTATGTTGGGACCTGTTGCCATCCAACCCTTTGTAATCAATTTAATTTTGCTTTTGATAGCTCAGTCAGAGCATTGTTAGTGAAGATAATAGTAGGGAATGAAACTGAGTTCATAGTCTCAGTTTCAACGTCAGAGTGTACAGTAAATTAATTCATCGGAATAGAAGTAGGTGGACTCCTGGTCTGTTTTGAGTGAGGGCCCCGCGGGCATTTCTACCGTTAGTGAGTGCCCGTCCCTTCATCCATACAGGTCCCTAACGCAGCCTAGGCCGTGTCTGTAGCGTGGATGTTGTATCCACTATGTCTGGGGAGATGTCCGAGGTCCAGTAGGATCAGTTACCTTCGTGAGACCCGACCGTCAGACACTTCAGATTACCTATGGGCCCCATAGCTGGCTTGTCTGACCCTAACGCTCGGCCGGCGAGGTGACCCCGGATCACCAAGCCACACACCACTACCAGCCCCCATCATTGGTGGATGAGTGTCTAACTCAGTAGGGCTATGGTGTGGTTGTGTTATTCCACTGGGATCTTCAGAGTTCGTTGGAAAGTACCCCATGGTGGCAGGACCCCCATGGCGGTTGCTTGAGTATCACTACTGACGACTGAGTGTTGTAGTGGCAGTTGCCCCTGGTCTTAATGGTGCTAAGTTACTATAAGAGTTTGTGTTATTGAGTATGTCCACCCAGTAGTGGTGTGAGTGTTATTGAGTATGTCCACCCAGTAGTGGTGTGAGTGTTATTGAGTATGTCCACCCAGTAGTGGTGTGAGTGTTATTGAGTATGTCCACCCAGTAGTGGTGTGAGTGTTATTGAGTATGTCCACCCAGTAGTGGTGTGAGTGTTATTGAGTATGTCCACCCAGTACTGGTGTGAGTGTTATTGAGTATGTCCACCCAGTAGTGGTGTGAGTGTTATTGAGTATGTCCACCCAGTAGGGGTGTGAGTGTTATTGAGTATGTCCACCCAGTAGTGGTGTGAGTGTTATTGAGTATGTCCACCCAGTAGTGGTGTGAGTGTGATTGAGTATGTCCACCCAGTACTGGTGTGAGTGTTATTGAGTATGTCCACCCAGTAGTGGTGTGAGTGTTATTGAGTATGTCCACCCAGTAGTGGTGTGAGTGTTATTGAGTATGTCCACCCAGTAGTGGTGTGAGTGTTATTGAGTATGTCCACCCAGTAGTGGTGTGAGTGTTATTGAGTATGTCCACCCAGTAGTGGTGTGAGTGTTATTGAGTATGTCCACCCAGTAGTGGTGTGAGTGTTATTGAGTATGTCCACCCAGTAGTGGTGTGAGTATGTTGAGCCTGAGGGCATAGTACCAGATTTCGTCTGTTGGTACATATATTCTTTCTCCTACCTCCATATTAATGTTTAAATAAATTTTGTATTTGTATATTGTGTCTATTATTTACCTACAGTATCTACCGTTATTTCTTCCCTATTACTTGATACTATCATTACATATACCCACGAGCCTCCTCTCGTCACGCTACCAATGGCTGTAAGTATTAAAGTAAAAAATTGTTATAAGAGGCACAGGCCCTTATACTGGAATCAATTACCCAATATCCCATTGAAACAATGGATTCGGTTAACGAACGACATTCTGGAACGAATTGCATTCGTTAACCGAGGGACCACTGTATAGGTAAAAAGTCCCCACACTCCTGAGGATTACAAAGAATAATATCCATAGAGCGTGGAAGTCTCAACTAAGAATGGTTCAAATTTCCCACTATACTGACACGCGACCCCCACCAAGCACTGTAAACAATGCCTATTCTCCTGCAGTTTTCTATTGTTGTTCGTGTGCATTCTTGGAAAATCGTTGCCTTTGTTTTAGCTACTAGTTTAAAGTGTAGGGCTAGTGCTAATCTAAGCGCCATTCCTAAAAGGAAGCGTAGCAGCTATGGACTAAACATGGAATTACCAGGTACATTACAGTGATATCTCCGTTAGCTGGAACGATTGGTGCAGAGCACTTCTGGGAACTAGAGATTTTCGGGTAACGAGACTACTCCCTCAAAGCCGAGAAAAAAATCCCTCGCCCTTGAAATTTTCCGGGTAGCGGAAAAATGTTCTCGGAAGTTCCAGAAATAGGCCATTACATCATCTCTCGAACCCGGAAAAATATTCCTCATTCCCGGAATTTTCCGGGCACCAAAATTTTTTTTCAAAGAATTTCTGGAAAATGCGCCCGATTTTCACCTCTCAAACCTGGAAAAAACTCCCCCATCCCTGGAAATTTCTGCGTATCGGGAAAATGTTCTTGGAATTTTCCGGAAAATCGTTCCCAAAGCCGAAATTTTCTGCAAAATTCCGGCTTTGTGAATGATTTTCCGAGAAAATTTCAATTCCGGCTGTCGAAGAGTACCGGGTTTGAGGGATTCCGGCTAACGGAGATATTACCGTAGATGTTATTAGTCGGAAGAAAAGTGGCTAGCGTGTGATGGACATTTCACATGCTCTTCAGATTCTGGAATATAAATGATAAAAGGTATACAGACAACCCTTCCGAGTGACATTTAGTATCCTATTAGCCTCGAATAATGAGGACCTCCTGTACTAAAAAAAGGCAGTTAAATAATTATATGAAAAAAAAAAGATTGAGATAATACACTTTCTTCCAACTCTCCCACACTTAAAGCACTTGTTCTACAGCACTGTTCTAAGGCCAGGGCAGGTCAGATGACTACTAAAAATTTAATACTAACAGGCATCTTACTTTAAGTCTTCATTTTAGTTATGTATCAGTTAAAATACTCTTAAGCAATAGCAAGGTTTGAAAGTGAAGCAAGTTATATTATACTGCACATTATACATACTATACAGTACTACTATAATACTAATGAATAAACAGAAGGTCCATTTATTACTACAGTACATATATGAAATCAAGTAAGCCACAAGTATTAAAAATGGAGAAGAAGGTGCAGTGAGGAGACTCGATGCTAATTCTAGTAACAGAAGGAAAAGCATAGAAAGAAAATAATTAGGAGAGGAGTCGTAGTTGAGAATGATACGAGTTGAAAGTAACAAGAGAAGACATACACACAAAGGATTGATAAGACCTGGAAGACCAACTACACAAAACATAAAAACAAACATTAATAATAAGATTTAAATTAAGAAGAAATGGAGGAATATTTAATCAAGTACTGTACTGCATTACACTATTGATTTTAGTTACTCTTTAACTTCTCGCTTACTACCTCCACAAAACAAGTTGTTCAAAGTGTTACTTGCTTCACAAAATGCAGCCTTTTCATTTTTTTTTTAAAGTAGGAGGTTAAAGAGGTAATCAATAAAGCAGGAAGTCTAGGGTCTCTACCTGAAGGAGGCACAAACCTAATTTTCATGACACTGGAAAACTTCAATCTTTAACTGAACGAAAGTGAACATCTTAGTTTTAAATATAAGCACTGTCACATTAATGATTTTCTTAAAGAACTGGGAAACCTGACAGTTCATTGTGAAAAGATGAAAATTTAGCCCCAGCTCCCAAAAATGAGAAGGCTGATATATGATAAAAAAACAAAACAAAACTTTGAAACTTACGGGGCACTACAGGAAGCACTATGGAGTCTAGGTTAAGACACAACACAACAGCACTGGCCAGGCGGGCGCTCAGACAAATCAGCATTGGGCTTGTGGCAAGGCTTTTGGCACTTTATATGGGGCTTTGGAGCGTTTACATCACTGGGATCTACGTCTGCAATGTCAAATGTGGGAGCTTGTGAAACTGTCTCTCCATCTTTGAGAGGACGTCCCACACTGGAGACACTGTCCTCACTGTAATGCACACTTAAACTTGATTCTGAATGAGTTAGGTGTTTAGCAGAGAGTTGGTCGCAACTATCGGCAAGAAGCAGGTTATTGAGAGAGTGCTGTTCTGTGCTCAGTTGTTTATGGACCATTCCCAGAGATTCCTTTGTACTATGGCATTCTCCCCTACTATCTGCACCTCCACTCTCGCCCATACTACAGGCGCCAACACTCTCTCCGGACTCCATATCCTGATACACCCCTGAGACCGGAGAAGGTGGTGGTTTGTCTCCACTATCACAGAGCTTTGGTGTAGAGGGTGGGCTAACTTCCTGGGGAGATTTCAGAGGTTCAGAGTAAAATTGTAGACTTGACACTTGTTTATCATGTTCACTATCTTGAGGCACAGGAATCTCTTCAAACCATTCTTCTGTGGAGGAACTATGATGGGAGAGTAACCTGGAGGAGGAAGCTCGGAGTCGGAGCCTTGCGGACGGCGGATATGTGTGATGCATACACCTTCCCGTGTCGAGCGAATGGGAAGAAGCTAAAGGCACATGGCAATGAGGTCTGGGTGGCACAAAGCTCGTGTTTGGTGCTGAGTTGACTCGCTTCAGTAGCTGTTCGTGGCCATTAACATCTGCCCCTCCCGCAGAAGTTCCCCCAAGTAATAATAGGTTGCGCAAAAGGTCTCCAGATTGCACCCCAACTTCAGTTCTCCTTTGAGGTCCTCTATTTGGGTAGCCACAATGACAATGATGGCTAATTTTTTCCTCACTAACACCAGCACTACACACACACTGAGGCACTAAACATGGCCCACGACTGCTGACACTACCTTGAGCAGGAGCCACATCTACCCTTACTGGGGTGACACATGCAGCAGCCGGGGTGATGGGGATGACCTGGCCTGGAAGGGAGGACAGGGTACTGGGGCACACAGAAGTGACTACAGGTCTTGGGCAAGGTGGGTAGGACTGACACAGGCACCAACCCGCCTGCATAAAACACTGAGCATCAGGTTCATGCACAAAGTTACGACATGGTGCGTGAGGAGAGCAACACGGCACTATACCTGCTCCCATGGGCACCTCCACACACAAACTCACGGGCTGCATAGGAGAAAAAAAAAAGTATTCAGTTAGATTAAACAATGTCCTAAAGTTATTAGTCATCACTAGCCTATTCAGCATACAACATACATTATCCAAACAAATGGGTGCCACTTTTAGGCTGACTAATTGTTGGTCTGGTCATGCAACTCTGGTAATACCTGTAATATTCTAAAATTATTTATGCATACACCTACAGCTTTCTGAGGGCCAACATTATCATTATTTTGGCAATGGAAAGCAATACCACTGTAAATAAAATAGAGGTACTCTTGGTAATCTATAGACTCTAATCCAACTGTGCGTCCATATTTAGAGTATGTCACAGACACCACTAAACCAAGGCTTATACCATTTAAGTGACAGACTGGTGTAAGCACTAACATGGTGGCATCCATGACGTACAGTTAAATGCTGGACGGGGACCGACAAATTGATATGTGTAGAAAATGTCTACATATTTCATTATATATACAGTGAACCCTCAAAGATTTGAACCCAGTAAATCCTGATTTCGAAAAATTTTGACAAAACTTAGGGGTTCCAGAAGCTAAGAAGCGTTCCCAAAACAGAGCAAAGATCATCTTAGGTCCAGAGCGCGGGACACAGGTGCCCGAGGAGGTGGGAAAAATAAACAGAGTTGTCAATTGTTGTTTGTGGGAATATTATTTCATTCACTCTAGTAATGATACAATGTTTCTTATTATGTTTTCGTAGGTACCATATTTTACAGCACATTAGACGCACCGCCATATAAGATGCACCCCCAATTTTAGCAGGGAGCATTTAGGAAAAAACTAGTGTGTATTTTTCCCCTTAGCCATAGTTTTCTTAAAACAATATAAACAGTACCAGTAAATGTGAGGAAATAAAAATAATACCAATAATAAGTTACAAAAAAAAAAAAAATACTCTATTGCCAAACCAGTAAATAAAAGCCAAATGAAAGTTTAACGCAGTTGCCATTTGCATATACAGTACTACTGTACTGTACATCTGTACTCCCTGTTTACCATAATAACGGCAATGCTACCTCTGCTGATTCCCTAGCAACGCTCCCCCTCCCACCACCAACACCCCCCTGGCTGGGTGTTCGCCGAGGCCAGGGTTGAGGTAAGGCTGGGTGATCGGACGCAGACATTCCACCACCACAACACTCCGAGACTCACAGCACACGAGCATGGAAGGAATTTTTTACAAATCTTGACATGACATGAACCTGCATAACAAAATTTCATTCATAACATTGTTGGCACACATAACAATAGCAAGTTAGGGGTGAGGCACGAGAAACTTGGGCTGTTCTCGACGTGTTGATGGACTAAAAGTATCGTGTCGGAAATTAGCTCCAAATTACCACACACCATGATTAGGATGTTATAGATATTTATCATTCAGGTGAAAATAAAAAATAATCATATGCGTAACTAGTTGTAATATTGCTGACCTTTGTGCCATAACTCTCATAATCTGAGACATTATGAAATGAAATTTAAAAACTAAAAGCAGCAGCAGACAGGAAACAAGGCAAGTGACCAAGAAGTAGTCACTAATGACGACACACGGCCAGGCATCTACACTGAGGGTCGAGGTCTTCGGCAAAGTCGCTGCTCCGGACCAGACAAAAATTGTTTGGGTGATACCATGACTAATGTGAATTGCAACATTCCCAGCCAAAATACTCCAATGTAGTTTCTGATGCACCATTAAATATTGTTAACATGACTATATGAATTCCAAGTATGTGTGAAACCATAATATTCCCAGGGTTATTGTAATATCTATACATGTATAGGCCTCGCCTAGTCCACTGACCGCCCACTCCCTCTTGACGAAATTCGGCCGCCGGCCACCCTTTATATATGCTGCCCTGCTGATTCATGTGAAATACGAGGAATCACATCTAGTGGTTCCAAGCCAGTGTTTTGGGACCGGACAAAGTTGTTCATGATCCAATCTTAACATGTTATTATTATGTGTGGCAACAATGTTATGGATGCATTTGTTATGCAAGTTTATGCCATGTCAAAGTCCGTAATAAGTTCCTCCCTGTGCTCGTGTGCTATGAGTCTCGGAGTGTTGTGGTGGTGGAATGTGAACCTCACCATCTTAGTGCCTCTTTACCACACTGCTGAACTAGTCTGCGTCCGATCACCCGGCCTACCTCGACCCTAGCCTCGGCGAACGCCTAGCCAGGGGGGGTGTTGAAACTTTGGATTGTGACTGTACGTACATCTACCCAAAAATACGAATTGTAAAACAACTGCTTGGTCCAGTAGGCTGGTGGTTATAGAGACGAGTCTAACCTGGCCACAATGCTGCCAGTGATGTTAACAGAAGTAAATGTGAAAAGAAAGTTTTATGTAAATCTTCATTTGTATCAGGTATTTGTAGATTAAAATTCCTGTATACTGCAAGTATGGCATTAACAGATTGTAATGCTTGTAAGAGTTCAGAAATGGCTACTGCTTAGCTACCTTTAAATAGTTGGGTGTCTGCCGTATGGACGTTAATCGTCTCAGGTTATCGTCATCAGTACAGTACAGAGTAGTTATAGATTGACCGTTTATATTTATAATCATTATTTTTTAATTAATTAAAAATAATAATAATAATAATAATAATAATAATAATAATAATAATAATAATAATGTGTTTAAGGAAGCAATAACATAATTTTAATTCTGGAGTTGAGTTAGGTGGAATTCAGCCAAATGGGGGATTCATTAGCTTGCAGGAGACCACAACTTCACATGTAGGATGCAGGCGGATCTTTTTCGCATTTTTTCAGACAAAAAAGTGTCTTATTTGCCCTAAAATATGGTAAATACTGTACATGGTTTATATAATTTGTTTATTGCTGTGCCAATCACCATTTTCAAATTAGACTACAAGATATGTATTTCTCTCATGTGTATTTCGATTGTACGGCTGGCAACGGGAGTGAGTGAGTGACCGCGAGTTAAAGCGTTGTCTGCAGTTGTAACTTTCCTCCCTCCCTGCCATAATTCACTTGATTTACTGTGATTATTAGTGTTTATTGATATAATAGTGCTTAATAGGGATTAATCATGGCATTGTAGCCAGGTTAGACTCGTCACTGTAACCTCCAGGCTACTGGGCCAAGCTGTGAGGTGTCATGATTGTTTTTCAACTCGTATTTTCGGGTAGATGTACGTAACTTTCTTCATTTATTTTTACTCAGTTACAGGCACACACCATCCTACATACATACTGTAAAAAAAATTAAAAGAAATAATTGTCCCAAGGACGAACACGTACGGGAGCAGAGCTCAGACAGTAGGGGAGCATTACTAGGGAATCGGCGTCCCAGCTGGTCTTCGTTACTATGGTGAAGCAGGGAGTGTAAGCAAATGGTGACTGTTAAACTTTCATTTGACTTTTATTTACAGATCTGGCAATCGTGTATTTCTTGTTGTAACTTATTTATTGGTATTATTTTTATTTATTCCTCACATTTCCTGGTACTGCATATATTATTTTAAGAAAACTATGGCTACATGAGGAAAATACACACAAAAGCTTTTTCCTAAATACTCCCTGCCGTAAAATACGGTACTGTATTTTTTTTTATATATAATTATATACAGTATAGTTTTTATACATTTAGTATATTTGCTGTAAGATACGAACAATCGTATTTTTCAGACAGGTGGTCCCCCTTTTAGTCTGGTTCTTCGAGGGTTAACTGTACTACAGTACTGTATACAGTACCTATATATCAACAGTGTCATACAATATAAAGGTACTGCAATGAAATACTGTACAGCAATACAAAAAATTTTCTTAATCTAGATACTGCTGCCAAGGTGATAGCATTATAACATACTGTACTGTATTTCTACTACAGAGTAAGTCATCAAATGGGCCCAGACCTAACAGGGCCTGTCCTAAAATGCCAGAACCAAACCTAATCAATTAGGGCCTAAACCTGATTGTTAGGTTAGGTTAGAGCCTACCAGAACTACAGCCCATTACACAAGTCACCATAGAGTTTACTGGACATGATAAACGTTCCTCTACATCTCCAGTTGACACATACAGTACTAACAGTCTCCAATATCTGTGATAATCTGTCAACATTCCAAGAGTAAATTTCCAACACTATGCTCTAGAAATATATGTTTGAATCACCCTGACAGTAACCAGTAAAGTGAAGCCCCTAATAGTCAGTCAGTCTGGTGAACGTAAGTGATGCAATTCTTATGACACCAGTGAACGATTAACCAATGGCTAGACGGGGGGTAATGAAAACACCTTCCCTCCCACTCACCCAACCAAGTCAACATGTAAACATAATTCTTAGATAACAAGACTCGGTATTTGCTTTTTACATTACCCGAAGAATGTAACAGCCCCTTTCTTGCAACCTTATGAACAGTCGTTGAAATTATAAGAAAAAATAAATAAATAAATAAAAAACTTTTAAATGGGTAAAAAGCTGAAAATTCAAAAGATGTATTGAAAAATTTCTATGGTTCTGATTGTAAGCATGTATGCACAGGACACTGTACATAACACACATGCTCACAAAAACATATACATCAACAATTACTCAAATATACACTGTGTGTGTGTGTGTGTGTGTGTGTCATTGTGTGTAAATGTGATGTGTACTGAGTGTGCCTAAGTACGATTGCATAAACCATATTAAGTGAGTGAGAGTGAGTGAGTGACTGAGTGAGTGAATGAATGAGTAAGAGTGAGTGAATGAATGAGTAAGAGTGAGTAAATAGGTGAGTAAGAGTGTGGAGAAGGTGTACACACAAGAATCTTAAAGTACTAACAACACAGTAAAGACAAAAACCATGACAGAACAAGTCCTCCCTGTGGGCTATAGAACTTAAAAACAAATAAATTAATTAATTAATAAAAATATATAAATGCGATTAGGAACACCTTCCATCAAGAGTGATTGATTTGCATTGAAGGACAATACATTTAATATTCTCAGTACATAAACACACCTGTATAACTGA